CAAGGTGACTTTGGGCATCCAGCATTTGACCCTGCATCCCTATGATGTTTATGTTACCCCAGTTGCTGAATACATCCTGGGGTTGAACATACTGACTGGTGCCAAGTTAGACACCATACAGGAAGAGTTCCATTTGTGGGTTTGCTTGATAAAAACTATTGTCTGAGGACATCCCCATCATGCACTGTTGATTTTCCCACAGTAAATGGAGTTTGTGTATGTGAAGCAGTACCGGTTGCCTGGGGGTCATGAGATAATAGGACAGACTGCTTTGAGGATGGAAGAAGGAGAGGTGATACACCCTGCACAAAGTCCTTTCAGTTCTCCTGTTTGACCTGTGTGGAAGCCCGATGGGACTTGGAGAATAACTGTGGACTACTAAGAACTGAACAAAGTGAGTTTTCCATTGCATGTAACAGTACCCAATATTGCTGACTTGATGGGCTGGCTCACCCTGATGTTGGGTCCAAATCTCAATATCACTACTATGTAGTGGATCTCACCAAATGTTCTTCCCCATCGCTATCATGGCTGTGAGTCAGATACAGGTTGCCTTCACCTGGGAGGGCAGACAGTGGACTTTTCAAGTGTTTCCACAAGCATATTTCCATAGCCCTAATTTGTGCCATGGCCTGTTGGCCCAAGATCTGGCTACATGGACCAAGCTGCACTCTGTGTCTTTGTTCCATTATATTGATGTTGTAATGTTAACTTCTGATTCCCTTACATATTTGGAAGCTCCCACACACAGTCTAAAAGAAGCTTTGCTGGCCTCGGTGTGGACCATCAATAAGACAAGGTCCAGGGCCCTGGCTTATCTGTCAAATTCTTAGGTGTTATCTGGTTGGGTAAAACAAAAGTAATCCCTGATGCAACAATATATATGATCTAGGCATATCCCAGATGGACAACGCTATGCTAGTTACAAGCATATGCGGGCTTGTTAGGTTTCTGGTAGACGTTCATTCTGCACCTAGACACCTTGTTGTTGCACCCTCTATATCAGATGACTCAAAAGGGTGCAACATGAGACTGGACTGACCCAAGGAAGCTGCATTCCAGGACTTGAAAAGGGAAGTCACTCAAGTACAGGCCTTGAGCTTTTGACCCTACGCTGCCTTTCACCATAATGGTAAACATGGATGATAATGGGTTTGGCTGGAGTTTGTGGCAAAAGCAGAGGAAATGGAAGCACTGTATTGGCTTTTGGTCACAGTTGTGGAAAGGAGTTGTAAGCAACTATTCCCTGACTGAGAAGCAGTTGGCAGGACTATATGCTGCTCTGCACACCTGTGAAGGAATCACAGGGCAATAGACTGTGGAAGTGCAAACTAAGTACCCAATAGGGGGCTGGGTATGCACATAGATATCTCCTCCCAGGAGTAGAGTAGCCCAGGCCCCCACCCGGGCACAATGGGGAACATATCTACAGCACAGAGTCTCTTTTTCAGCCAGCCCTCTAGTGGCCACACTGGCAGCAGTGCTGGGACCCTTGACTTACTCGACCCAAGAAACCCTACAGGATGATAGGGACTAAGTCATGACCCCTAGTCCCTATGTGGAAGGGAAGGAGAGACCCCTGGCTAAGGCCTGGTATATGGATGACTCTAGTCATGGCACAACCTTGCAATGGATGGTGGTCACTGTCCAGCCTAGTATAGAGACATTCTGGTTTGAGGTTGGGACAGGCAAGTCAAGCCAATAGGCAAAGTTGTGGGCATTGTGGTTACTTGTCATGCATGAGGATGAACTTCTGCATGTTTGTACACAGTTGTGCTGTATTCTGAGGGCTAACACTCTGGTTACCAATCTGGGTAGCCAAGACTAGCAGATAGGACATCAACCCCTATGGGGTGCTGAGTTATAGTGAGACTCATGGGAGCATGCTGACTATGACACATGTGGTGTACCATGTGTCAGGATACAGGCCTCTCTTCTCACCAGGGAATGATTTGGCAGACTCCTTGACAAGGGGTAGCAGCCCTTTGAGGGCCACCCTCAGTGGTGGCACCTTGGCTCCATAAGGAATTGGGGCATGTAGGGTCCTGCACCATCCAAGATGTAGCCGAGTGATGGCATTTGGATATGACTCCCACAGAGGCAAGAGCATCAGGGAAAGCATGCCTTCAATGGTCTCAGCTGGCTCCTTGGAGGAGGAGGGTACACACACAATTGGGTGCAGTACCTCAGGCATCCCATCCCCTGCAGCAATGGCTGGTAGATTACATTGGGCCCCTGCCCAGGGTATAAATATGCTCTAACTGCTGTGGATACTGCCATGGGTATAGACTTTGTTTATCCTGTCCCCTCTGCTGACCAGGCCCATACCATTAAGGCATTACAATGTTTGACTACAGCATATGGGATGCCACTAGGAATAGCATCTGACTGGGGAAGACATTTTACAGGGGCTCAGGTGCAACAGTGGGCCAGGGACAATGACATTTCCTGGCATTTTCATGTGCACTTCCAGCCTCAAGCTGTTGGTATGATTGAGAGATATAATGGGCTCTTGAAAATTAATCTGGCCTATTTGGCTCCAAAGTTTATCAGGTGGGTGTAGGCTTTAATACAGGCTGTTGAACTGCTCAATGAGCAGCCCTAGCATACAGGTGAGAGCTCATTGGATCGCCTTCTGAAAGCACAGCCGACTGGTCTGTGCATTTGACTGGTAGAATAAGGTCTTAAGGTGGTAAAAGGGGCTTTGATCCCCCCTGCACAAGACCCTATGTGGCCAGGGATCCAGTACCAATGGACTTGGGAGTGGCCCCTAGACCCCTGCTGGGAAATTGGGTGTTGTTCTTGGAGCCCTGGGAGCAGGGACTGCATTATGCCATAAAAGTGCAGCCCTAGATTTCAACATGGCCCCTGAAGGCCTCAGTGTGCTCCCCACCCAATGCTAGGGCCATCATTCTAAAGGGAAGTGACATGTTGGCTGTTTGGCCTATTCCCTTAGGGGTGGTAGACCTAGCTCCAACCCCTTTGCCTCTGGTGACAACAGGGACACAAGTCTGGTATTCTAAACTGGGAGATAAAATGATCCTGGCCACCATCCTATTGCAGGATGAGCATGTGGCCTGCATCCTCCCAGAAAGGTGAGACCTCCCTATGACAGTTTCTTTTTCTGCCTTGTCCTTCCAACCAGGATGAGTCAAACTAACAGCATAATCTCCTAGGTACACACATTTACTCATGTGCACCAATAATAAATCTACTGAGAATAAAATTAGGAAATTGATTTCATTCATAAATGTCTTCCAAAAATTTGCATACTAAGGAATTACCCTGACCAAGGAGTGAAAGACCTGTACAATGAGAATTACAGTACAGTGAAGAAAGAAATTATAGAAAGCAACAAAAAATTGAAAGACATTGATTGTTCATGGGTTGGAAGAACTAATATTGTAAAAAACGGCCATATTACCCAAAGCTGTCTAAAGAGTCAATGCAATACTTTCTGAAATACCAAAAACATTCTTCACAGAACTAGAAAAAAATAATCCTGAATTTTGTGTAGAATCAGAAGACTCAGAATAGCTAAAGCAATCTTGAGCAAAAAGAACGATTTTAGAGGTATCATTATATTGGACTTTAAGCTATGCTAAGTGATAGTAACAAAAACAACATAGCAGTGGCACAAAAGCAGAAATGTAGATAAATGAAATAGAAGGAACAGAAACAAATATAAGCATCTACAGGCATCTGATTTTTTACAAAGGTGCCAAAACATACTGGAGAAAAGAAAATCTCTAACAAATTCTGCTGGGATAGAGAAATTGAAACTACATCCTTATATCTTACCTTGTACTAAAATCAAATCAAAGTGAATCAAAGACTTAGATATAAAACCAGAAATACTGAAATTTCTGGAAGACACCATACGGGAAACATTTGAAGCCATAGGCACAGGGTAAGATTTACTGAACAGGATTCTAAAAATACAGGAAATAATATTGAGAATCAAAAAATGGGACTACATCAAATTAAAAAGTTTCTACACTGCAAAGGAAATAACTAACAAAGAGACAACCTACAGCTTTGAGAAAAATGTATAATAGCTACTCTTCTGATAGTGGATAAATGTCTAAAACGTATAAATTAATTGAAAATTAACCCCATAAAACAATGAGCTCAGTAAAAGTTGGCAAATGGACTAAAAAGATACTTCTCAAAAGAAATCAAATGGCTAAAAAGTACATTTTAAAATGTTCAACATCTTTAACATCAGACAAATACAAATTAAAAATTTATTGAAATTCCTTCTCAGTCCAGTCAAACAAAAAACAATGAAAGTTGGAGAAAATTTGAGGAAAAAGGAATCCAACATTTGTGGTGGGAATGGAAACTAGTACAACCACTATGGAATTTAGTATATAGATTCCTCAAAAGACTGAACAGAGAAATATCACTTGATCATTTGTCCAATCCTGGAAAAATTCCTGAAAGAATTAAGGACTGCATACTACAGTGACAAATGAATGCTCATGTGTATACAGCGCAATTCGCAACATTTAAATGTGAAAACTACCTTGATGCCTATCAATAGCTGAATGGATAAAGAAAATGTGGTGTATATACACAGTGGAATACTACTAAGCCATAAAGAAGAATGGAATTATATGATTTGCAATAAAATATATAAAACTAGAAACCCTCATGTGAAGTAAAAGTCAAATATAACATGATTTCTCTTATAGGAGAAACCTAATAACTAACTCAGTAACTAGGCCATTAAATGAAAAATTAAAGGAGAGATTACAGGAAACCAGTAAGTAGACTTTTGGAGGCAGGAAAAAAAGATCAATGAGATTGGGTAGGAAAGAGTAGTGGGTAATGGAATTTAAGTTGATTAAGATGTATTAAATTCAATGTCAAGTTCCCAAAATAACCTCACTATTATGTAATATGAACATGCACTAATAAAATATGATAACTATCATAAAAGCTTCTTTCATTTAATACTTTTATTTAATATACCCATAATTTGAAATTACTTTTACCTTATAATCCAAGAGAGAATTTACTTGTTCTACTTCAGAATTACTTATCATATCATTTTCTTCATCATCAATAATTTCTATTTTCTGTAACACAAGTGAAATTTTTATAAATATATATCAAATCATTATAACTATACTCAACAATATATAAAACTTACATATGCAATGTTTAACTTTAGTGATTGAATTAGCTAGTTTAGATTTTCTGCAGTAAACTCTAAAAATTCACTGGCTCCTCAGTGCTATACATAGTGTATCTCTCAGCTCTCTCCTTCTTTTAACTGAGTACTGATTAGGTAATAGAAAATACATTTTATAAAATACTAAATAGAAATTGTTTTCACAATATTCTTGAAAAAAATAGACATTCAAATTCTGCTTAAATAGCACCATTCAGTGTTAGGTAACTTGCTTTCTTTAAGTGTAGTCTATTTTAAAGGTAAACATATAATTGATAGGAAGGGTTTTCTTTTCTGTCACCACATGCCTGTTCCTTGCTTCTGATGTAATATATTAACATATGGCATGCATTCTAAAGGCAAATACAATTTCTAAACTTTCACATATTTACTGCACTCCTTTAGCAAGAGGATAGAAACACAAGCCCTACGGTGTAATGATGAAAATTACATGGTGATTTGTTTTCTTCACTGAACAGTGACAAGAGCGAGTAGAGAAGGAGAGAAAGACAGGGAGAGATGCTGCTGTTCTTGGCTTTATAAAGGTCAGAATACCTTGTACATTATTTTGCACACAGTAGGTATTAAATATCTATTAGAAGAATGAACAAAACAGCTCAGTGCTCATGAAAAGAATGACCAATAAGCTCCAGCCATGAAGGTAAGGCAAGTTGTCTACTAAAAAAAACAACTCACATAACCTTTTGTAAAAAAGCAAAGGACAAAAGCAGATCTTATTTTATCTTTTGCATATAAAATCATAGTTAAGGAAAAAAAAACCTTTAAACATTCAAATGCTGCCAACACAAAAGAAAATCTCAAAAAGGGAAAAGCTGAGCTAGATTTAGTCAAAAGACAGTCTTTTAGTAACAACTACATTAATGGCAGCATGTCATAAGCAGAATTTGAAATTAGGCTTCATATCCATCAATATATAAGGTGATTAAAAATCACAAGAAAATTTAAATGATCATATTTGATACATTGCTTATGAAGATGCAATGCAATTACAGGGTTTCTGAACTGCAGACTTCTGACTCACAACGTCAGCTGCAATGAAATTTGTTTCTATCACTGCCTAGAGAGGAATGAAATGTTTTCTATTATAATAACTATAAACTTGGGTGTAATCATATATACTCTCCCTAAACTTCAGATTTAATGCTTTCTTGATTTTTGATTCTTTATCTATTTGGGATGGTTCTAAGAGTAGGGCAATTTAGGAAGAAGATATCAAAGGACAATGTATAGATTTGTGAATATAAGTAGGTCTTTTATGTGTACATGATTTGTCACTCATGAATAATTGGCGGTACACTACACATAAGTTGTAGGCAGAGGAGGACAAAGTTTGTAGACAAACTTTGGAGTTTGTCTCTGTAAATCAATCATTCCTTGAAAATTTAAGTGCCTAAGTGACTGTGAATCATCCCATGTCATGACCTCATTTATTATTTTCCAGTGTCTGCTTCAGGGGAGATTCAGTGCAGAGACATTCAGGCTACAAATGAGCATGTCTTTAGTAGAAAAGTGGTTTCAACTTGTAAATAATTGTATATAACTTCTACACTATAGCTCAAAACTACAGTGGAAGATTATTACTAATATTTAAGTATATTAGCACAATTCATAATTATGAAAAACAATTATTATCAGCTATCTCATGCAAACACGACTTTGTCTCAAAATGAAAGCTTCCTTTACTATATGCTGGATGAATTTAGTATTAGAAGGCTCAGAAATGGCTTCCAAGAAGGACTGAAATTAATAAAGGGAAACCTTACATTACATTCTGCATGTGAAAAAAATGTTATATATTTTGATATTTAACAAATAAGACACTGTATTTTCTGCACTCGATTTTTATTAACAGAGATGTGACAGGATTATAGTGTCAAATAAGTAATGTATGTAATGGGACCTGGGGTAAATTTTGAAATCACAGTGTTTTGGAACAGAAAAATCCATCATAGGGGATACCTTTTAACAGCTGTAATCAAGAACAGAATACTAATTCAAAAGAAAAATAAAGCACAACCGCATTCCTCTTTATTTCTGATATTTCCTCAATAGTATCTTCCTACTTTTCTGCACTACTTGATGGGGGTCAAAAATAAACAGATACTATTAAAACAGCTGCCGAGGGAATAATATTTTATGATTACATTTTCTACATATCCCATTTTAATTCACTGACAGCCACCTCTGCTTGCTATTCAAATTCCTAATGTCTTTCTTCCTTTATGTGATTTTTACTATGACTAACAGAATCCTACTTGACTAGAAAAAAGGAAAGATTCCAAATTCAATAGAAATAGTTATGGTCTCAGAGAACTCAGAGTCATAAATCCTTCTTTGCATACAAGTGCCAAAACTAACAAAGACTTCTTTCATCATCTCAAGCTAAACTCCATTTTAATTCTGCTGTCAAATGAGAAGAAACTTGTCCTTTGCTAAGAGTATTGAAGAAAAAAATAACATAGGTAAAAATGTCATATTTGTACTATTAGGTTCACATATTTGCAAATTTCCTAAGTAAAAAAAATTTGAGTATCAAAATTTTATTAATTAAATACTCAGAGAAATAACTTCATTGGTGAAAGTTCAGTTTTGGTTTGTCAAGTAGAGCAAGATTTTATTTTCATAATGTCTAGATAGTCACCAACTGACAATGTATACATGATGTCATCATATGTGAGGAAGGAATTTTAAACTGTACATACCACATTATCTGTGCATACTGCATGTTGCTTTTCCTTCTTATGAACCCTAGTCTCATTTGGAACAACTTCATTGGGCTCTTCTATAAGAAAAAGAAAATGTGATTTCATTTTTCATGCCTCAAAACTTTATTGTGAATGCCTTTTTTAAGATCACAAATAATTTCTTTATCACACAGACATAAGTGGCAAATTCAATTCACACATGCTTTGAAAACCAATTATATTTCTAAGAATGTATCCTAAGCAAATAAGTGTGAGAGGATGCAAATACAAGGATAGTCACCAGTGTACTATATAGAATAGATAAAAATAAAAGAAACCTATAGCTTAAACAATGGAGGATTGGAAAATTCAGTTAAACCTATCCCTATAATAAATGCTGTGCAACCCCTAAAAATGAAGTAGAATAGTTAATAACAAGGCAAATACTCATTATGAATTGGAAAGTTAAAAAGTGACACTGACAAAACCTACTCCATAGGTACACATACTGTTGATTTTGTAAATTAAAAAAAATATTTACATGGAGAAAAATAGAATGGCTTTATTTGTACCAAAACATTGCTGTTATTATCTCTAGATAGAATTATATGTGTTTTAAAATTTTTCTTCATTTTTTATGTATTTAAATAGTTTTCTTAATGAATACATATTGTTTGTCATAAGAAAAATGATATAATACTCTAATGCTAGATAAAAAACTATATGCCGCACATTTCTAATTTTGTGAAAACATGGAAATATGTGACTGCATGTACGTTCTCTATACGCTCTCTCTTTCTCATATATGCAAAGAGAAAAAACAAAAATATCTCCTCACCCCTATTTTCAGGAGGATAGGCTTATTACTATTTTTATTGTTTCTCAATATTTTCTGAAAGGAACTCTTTCTTTTTTTCTGATCAAATTCAATATTTTAAAATAGAGAAAGGAAAAAATTGAGAGAAGAAGTTAATTCAGAGAAAGAAGTAAACTAAAATACTTTCCACGCTAAGCTACGGGATGTGGCTAGTTTGAACCATTGAGTTTCTGCATATATTTATCTCCCTGTTTTAGATTACTCTCACTCCTTCCTTTTAGAAGTACAATATAGGAATATCCTTTCCTTCCTTTGCACAGTATACAACAGGATGTTATAGTACACTCATATATAGTAAAATGTTTCCTATATTAAAAAATAAGCATCCCCCCCATTTCACATAGTTACCCACCCCTTACAGGCAACAGTAGCTATAATCATTTAGTAAAAATTCTGAATATAGTATATTTTCATTAATTATACAGCTTTTGTTCTACACTAGATCTTTCCACTTATTCATCTTATGCATTTGGTACTTTGTAGCCTTTCACTGATGTTATGGTTTATACCTAGATGCTCATTCAAAGCCTTATGTAATCACAGTTGGTTTTTTTTTTTTTGAGGTGATTGAATCATGTGGGCATGATACTCATCACTGAATTAGTCCTCTGATGAGGTTATAGTAATTTTGATGTTGGAAGGTAAATAATGATGAGGTTATAGTAATTTTGATGTTGGTTGGAAGAGGTGCATCACTAGTGGCATGGCCTGGAGGGATGTATCTCCCTCCCTCCTCTCCTGATTGCTCTCTGCTTCCTGCCTGCAATGCTATAAGCAAGCCTCCTCTGCAATACCACCTGCCTTGGAGCAAGCTGTGTATGGACTGAAAGCTCTACAAACTGAGTCAAAATAAACCTCTCCTCTAGTGGGTGTTGTGTAGTGTGTCCCAGTGACAAGAGAGTAACTAAGACAGATTTTAGTATCAAAGAAGTGGGGACATTGCCGGGGTGCTACCTGAATATGTGGTTCAGAAGCCTCTGTAACTGTTCTGTAGGATGAGGTTAGCAAGGTTTGCAGGTGCCAACCGGAGAAGAGGCCCTAGAATGCTGTAAGCTAAGCTTGATAGAAGATTCTGGTCACAGCTCAGAAGACCAGAATGATGATAGAAATGCAATGCATAAAGACCAGGTTCAAGAGGTTTCAGTTGGGAAAAGGGGCTGCATTGGCAGTTGGATTCCAGGCCATGTGTGTTATACTTTGGCAGAAAATTTGTCTACATTTTGCTCATGTCCAGATATATTGCAGCAGAATAAGATTCAGAGCAGCAGCCTAATTAATCTGGCAAAAGAAATTTCAAGGCAGTCTAATATTGAGGCTGTGACTCAGCTATATTTGGGGGCAGGATTGAACTCATAACCTTGTGCTTGCGAGGCAGGTGGTGGAACCACTGAACTAAATCCCCAGCCCCAGGTGGTCCTAGTTTTACAGGAATGCAGGGATTCGAAGAGTTGTGGGGTCTGAGAAACTTCCACTCAGATTCCAGAAGAAGGCCTGGGAGGCTAGGCACTGTGCCCCTGAGAGGGCACTGTGTGAAGCAGTGAGTGTGAAGCCTAAAAGCTGATTGAGACCCCTAGAAAGTTGGAGAATCAAGGAATGTGAACCATCTGAGGAAAGCTCCAAAGAGTGAGCAAAGCAGGCCCAAGAGAGGAGCCATGAGTGCTATAACAATCACCAGCAATACTGAAGGTCCAGGGCTTCCCAAGCTCTGGGGTTCACAATTTGCCACAGATTGCCCCAGGTTCTGGACATGGAACCATGTGATTTAATGTTTACCTTGCTGGATTTTGTTCTTCCTTTGATCTCATTACTTTCTATCCACCTATTTCTACCTTTTGGAATTTCTGTGCCATTATATGTTGAAAGTTTAACTTCTTTTCATTTTTATAGGGCCTCACACCTAAGACCTTGCCTAAAATCTCAGAGGGGACTTTGGATTTACACTTTTTAGCAATGATGAATCTGTTAGGACTTTGGCAACTCTTAGAGATAATTAAATACATTTTACTTTTCCCCATTTCCTCGTGGGCCCCAACCTTGTTCAGCATTTTTAAATTCTCTATTTCTATATATTTTACCTTTATTCCTCCTACCATTTGCTACAAAAGGATGGTCCATTTGCTACAATAAGATGGACCTGGAAGATGTTTTGCTAAGTGGAACAAGGCAGACAGAATGTACAATATTGCATGATTTCATTTATATGTGGAAACTAAAACATGTCAATTTACATGTTTAAAAAAGAACATTTCATAGACAGAGGAACTTTTACCTATTCATTATTTAGACTCTTCAAATTACAGACATTTGGAGTCCTACACAATTGGCAACTAGATGAATTGAAGGCAGGGGTTATCATCAGCTTTAGCTGCAGACCAGCTAATAACACTTGTGGCCTGAAGAGGGGATATATTGTTCATCACAAAAGATAATTACTAGTACCGTTCCTTATATATTTACCTTATTTTCCTGTTCTGACTTATAGCTTTTACAGAGTTCTGCTTTAGTAGCAACATATTTTTGCATTGTTTTGATTATTTTAGAAGACCTAAAAACTAATTTGATGATTTCTAAAATAAAATGTATAAAGTGATAAGTTGAATAAAAATCATTTTCTTTTGCTTATAGAGAGTTTCAACATAAATGAAAGTCTGAAAGCTAACCACTGTCAGTGCATCTCATAATTCTTCAAGGAAGCCAGCTCTGCTGATTGGAAAATAAGTAATATTGTTAATCAGTTAAAATCCTTTAGAGTACTCAGCTATATGTTCACAGTCAGCAACTCCAGTTGAAGTTAGCAATTGTGAGGGAGTGAATCCATGTAGCTTTTAAAAAAAACCTAACAATACCTTTTTTCTTTTCACTCCCACATAGAGAAAAGGAAAGAAAACTCATGAGAAGGTAAGAGGTAGAAGTTGGAAACAAGTGGTAATTCAGAAACTATGTGTCAGGCAAGTAAATATCTGCTCTCTCAGAAAAAGAACAATGGATTTGAACCTGCTAAAAGATAAGTAGCACATTTTGTTGACTCTGGTTAAATTTGCCCTTTACTGAAATTTTTTAAAAATCCTAATTTTTGCTTGTGTAAATTTTTAAAAGAAAAATTTATGTAATTTTTGAGTGATATTTATCATGTAATATGTAAGGCTCAGCATAAAGCTATATTTTTCCTTTCTTAGACATTCAGAATGAACATCTGTGTTATAAGGACTCTGAATTTCTGTTATTAGGTTTTGCAAATAGTATATTCTACTGTCATTATTCTATATTTATATCTCTAAGATGTAATTAATAGAAATCTCAAAATAGACATCCATCTAATTGCATTTTCATAAATGGGAAAAATATATGGTTACCATCTTCTAAAGGTATAATATTAGTCTAAATCAGATGATACAATAATTGAATCATTACAAAGGGATGAAACCAATCAGATTAGCATTCTCCATTGGCAAAATGTGGGTAAGGTTAGGATAGAACTTGTAAGAAATTGCAAAAAAGAGCTGTTTTCTGTGTTTGAAAATACATTTTTGTTGCAATTTTTGATGAGAATGAAGTTACCATGCAACTGAGAAAAATAAGCTTCTCAGAGAAATTCTCATCACTTTTTGTGTTTTTTTGTTTGACACATTAAATTCTGTCTCTCCTTTTTCTCATTAGATCTTGAATAGTATGCCAGGTGTCTACAGCCTTTTAGAGAACCTTTTAGAAACTTTTAGAGACTGAATACCCAAACTGCAACTCAAAACTCACTTATTTATAGCAAAGTGCCAATACTGCAATAAAACATAAAAACTGAGGTTTTAGTTTAGAATAAAAGCAACTATTATCCAATGCTTGGCTGTTCAGGAGAGTTGGCTCACATGGCAGGAGTGAGGGCTCTGCATGCCTGTTGTAGCAAGTATACCATAGGTTTGCCCCCTCTGGTCTAGAGAATATACTGTTATATGCCAAAAGATGCCTGTGTAAGGAGCATTAAAGATGGAACAGTAAAGTGGACTTTAAAATTAACTTTCATTTCCCCATTATTTGTTTTCTAAGATTTTTTTTTTTGATGAGGAGAAGTGGCAGAAGAGGAATGAAACTAGACTTAGGGGTTTCTATACTTTCTACTATCAGAATATTTCTTCACAGCTCTCCCACTTACTCAATGAAACACATAAATCCTTATTTCCGAACTCCCTCTCACTTGCTTCTAGACATCATGCTCTAAAGATCCTGTCATGAGTCACGGGAAATTTCTAAGTATTTTCAGGTACAAGCAATTTAGTAATTACTAGTAGAAGACAAAAATGTGTGTAATGGACCAAGTATATTAGAAATAATGGGCTTGGAAATAGTCAAATATATTTTCTTGTTGGTTTTTAAATCAGCCTCATAGTTTTCCCATACACTAAATTCTGCTAACATCTTTCTAAACACCAGTCATAAGTGAAAGAAGAGAACTTTCATATTCACATAGACAAACTTTCGAATATCTTGTCTTAAAATACATAGCCCTGTAGATTTTCTTTCCTTTTCATTACTTAACCTACTGCAATCTTCTCTTCTCCCTACTGGGCATGCAGTTAATTGCATTTTCAAAGATCCTCTTAAACACCCTACCGAAAGGTCTCTTTTTTACTCAGTCTCTTTGAGTTCACTGAGAAAATGACTCTTCTTTCTGAAATCTTTTCCTTTCCTTGTTTTTAGAAATAGCATAATATCCTAATTCTCTTGTTTCTGAATATTCTATAAAAATTTTATCTTTTCCTACCAGCTCCCAAATCTGGTGATGTTGCAACACAGTTCTTGTTCATTGTCCTTTCTTATTATGTTTTATTTTCATACTTAATTAAATCTATTTCTATGGCTAAGTATTTTTGGCCTTAATGTGGGTGAAGCGTATATTTCTTCTCATGTAGTGAGTTCTCTTCTAAGCTCCAAAACAAATGTGTATATATATATATATTTTTTTTCTTATATGTATGCCTGTATATGTGGCTAAAAGGTATATTTAAGATCTCTAGAAAAAGGGTGGATTATTAAGCAAATCACATATAGGCAACTGTTTATTTGAAACACTAATATTAGGCATTTTCCTAAGATACTTTAAGGGAAGTATCAAATTTGCAAAAATAAAACCATAAAAATATCAGAGGCAAATACAGAGGTATATTTACATAATTGTACTATAAGAAAGACTAATCATAGCAACAAAGTCAGAAACCACAAACAAAAGTATTGGTAAACATGATAACATAAAAAATTATGAACAAAAATTCTGAAATCAAAAAGCACCATGAAAAAAACAAAATACCAACATTTAATTGGAAAAGAAAGTGTGTCAATATCCTGAACATGTCCTAATAAAAGAAAGACAAAAGGCAAGTTCATGACTTCCTCTCTGTTTCTCAATCACCAATACAAAATGACTATATATTGTATGATTTCATTTAGAAAGTAAGAAAGCAGAGTGGCTATCTAAAGTTGACATTGGGATTAATTACAAATGAACTCAAGGGAGAATTTTGTAGTTATTAAAATGATTTAAAATTAGATTTTAGTGATGGTGATAGTTGCAAAACTCTAAAACTTACTAAAAATAACTAAATTATACACTTACAATGGATGAATTTTATTATATGTAAATTAAAAATTAATAAAAATGTTAAAATGGCATCAAAACTTTTTTGAAGTCAAAGTATACTTGTCATGGATGAATGGCATAGCTTCATTCTATTATTTGCTGTCTCATTTAGGGGAGCAGCAAGAAGTATTATAAAGATGATCCAGTCTAATTTCCTTTTGCAAATCAGAAAAATTAAAAAACAATGAATTAATGTAAAAGGTGGGGAGGTTGAAGAGATGGCAGGGGGATGGGGAAAAAATAAGAACCAAGATATATCATGTAAAAATACTAGTTACCAATGATGAATATAACTATTGTATACCTAAAATGTACCAATAAACTTAATGAAAAAGAAGAATGAATTAAATGCTTTGCCCAAAAATCACATAATCAGCTAGCAAATGCTAAGACTTTCTACCAGTTGACAGACTATAACCTTATTGTTAATCACATTATATCATACTCTCTTCCATTACAGTGTGTTTATAATGTTCTAATCTAACTTGACTAAAATTCCCATATAATAAAAAATCATTGCTTAACTATAATGTATAGATTGTTATAATAACCAACAATTTTAAGTTCTGGAGATCATTATAGTATATATTTCTTGTAATAATGTGGGAAACTATTTAGGAGGAAGCATTAGAAATAAATCTGCTTCTTCTTAAATGCTTAGTCAAATGTTTTGAAAATGCTAGATTTGAAGTGTAGTAAGATTAAAAACACCTAAGAATGCATTAAATATACAATGGCAATTGTTAAGAAGTGCAGCACATAAAGTACCTTGAGAGCTTCCATCGGACAAACAGATGGATACTTCATCATTTCTGTCATTATCATCTCCTACTTCAGGCCCTGTTTCTTCTCCTGGTGTGAAAGCAGAGAAAGAAGCAGACTCAGGCTGCTCAGAGAAATCAGCAGGACCTCCTCTTGGAGGTGGAACTTCAATGCCCATTAAACGATATTTCCTTCTTCGATTGCCAATCCAAGTCTTTATAAAAGAAATACAAGAGGAAATTTTATAATTATAAAAAACATAGTATCTCTGGCCATTACAATAATAAATGCATGCTACATAAATTATGCTGCAAAAGAACAAAAAGGTACATAAAACAATTTTTCTCTCACTAAGCTAAAATAAAAACTTATTTTTATTTTAAAATAGTTTATTAGCAGGGTAATATTTATCTAAATATTCAGACTTTCAAAAACATGCATACTATTACAGATGGCATTTGTTTATTTTTTGTTTTTTCTAAGGAAAATAATTCATCAAATCTTTCAGAAGAAAAATGAATTAGTTTTTCTTTCAGACAAACTATAGTTCATATCTCATTTCCAATCTTGTTCTTCCTAGATGTTAAGCCCTCTATTAATTTTTTTGGCTCAGTAATTGTCACCTTGTTTATTTAAATACTTCAACATTTTATTCCATTGTATTTAGGACCAATTTTTAAAACATTTTATTTAAGCAATTTTAGAGTCACAGAAAATTTCAAAGTTAGGTCTTGTGTATTGTTCATTTTGTTTCCTCCAACTATCACCTTATTAATTATAGCACAATACCAAAAGCAGGAAATTGGTACTATCCAATGTGTGCATACAGTTCTGTATCTCTCTCTCGCTCTCTCTCTGTTTTTTTTGGTACCGGGTATTGAACTCGGGACCTTGCTCTTGCGAGGCAGGCACCAGAACCACTGAGCTAAATCTCCAGCCCTTCTGTATCTCTTTTTTACACCATACATTTTCCCCTTCTTTCCACTATCCCTAATTCCTGGAAATCACTAAAGTGTTTTCCATCTCTATAGCTGTTTCAAGAATATATGTAAACTAAATTATCCAGTATGAGACGTTTAGAAATTAGCTTTTTCTAACTTAATATTTTTTTGGAGATTCATTCAAGATGTGTTTGTCAATAATGCATTATTGCCAAGTAGTATTTATTTATTGCCAAGTAGTATTTTGTGATATATGTATATGAATGTTTATTTAAGTAGGATATGAATTGTTTTCATTTTTTGACTATTACATAAAAAGTTACTATGAACAGCCATATAAAGGGTTTTGTGCAGAAGTAAGTTTGCATTTTTGTAGGATAAATGTAAAAGTATACAATTTCTGGGTTATATAATTACACGTTAAATTTTATAAGAAAATTCCAAGTTGTTTTCCAGTGGAGCCATGCCATTATACAGTTTTATGAGCCATTCTTCACAATAGAGTTTCTCAGCATTCTTGTCAATATTTAGTATCTATCTATCTATCATCTATCTAATTTAGCTATTGGCATAGGTGTGTAGAATGATGACTTATCAAGTTCTTTTTTTAAAAACAATTCTGCTTTTGCTGAAGATTGAATATAGATAGGGCCTCATGCATGCTTAGCGGGTTTTTTACCACTGAGATGCATCAAGATACTAATTTGATTTTCCTAATTACTGTGATGTTGAACATCTTTCCACATGCTTATCTACCATGCATATAACCCCTTCAGTGAAATATATCTTCATTTTCTAGTTGAAGTGTTTAGTTGAACACACAGGATAGTGTCTTTCGAGAGTTATTTTGTATATGAGTTCTTTTTCAGACATGTGGTTAGCAAATATTTTATCCTAGTCTACAGCTTTACTTTCTGTCCTCTTGTTCTCCTGTAACATAAACCTAACACTGCTTTAAATAAGGTGTATTAATTTAAAACAACAACAAAATGTGGGTTCATTAAAAGAGTAAAGTTGACAAATATCTAGCAAGACTTCCATTTACTGAGCCATGTAGTGCCCAAATAACTGGTAAAACATTATTTTATATGTGTTCATGAGGGTGTTATTGGAACACATTAACATTTAAATAGGTATAGAAAGTAAGAAGATAACCCTTATCAATGTGATTAGGAATCATCCAACCTGATTAAAACCTTAAGTCTTCATGTTGTCTTTACATGAAAAGTTCATGAATATGGAATGCACCATTTTACATTTTTATCCAGTTCAGTTTTTGGACAGTTTTTTTTCCTATACCTGAAACTTAATATCTATTATCTTCTTTACATTTTGTATAGTTTCTAGTTATTTGTTCCAGATCTGATTCTCCCCAAACTCCTTCTTCCACATTTTGACTACTAAATATGCTGAAGATAATTTATTCTCTGTTTCAACCTGACACCCCTAATCATAAAATACCTTGTTTTCAACCATTTTATATGCCCCAAGGGCAAATATTTTATCATTTTGGTCTTCAAATTCCTTATATGCAAATTTAGGGAACTAGTTTATAAATCTATATTTTCCTTGATAATAATTGTCTCTTAATGGTGGTCATATATCTACAGAATAATATTATATCTTTTTAGCCAAAACTTTTATGTATTATTAGCATAAATTATAATGGGCTAGTAAAATGAGGACCCACAGACCCTATAAATTTCTAATTATATTTCTAAAAAAATAATTTAAAACTATACTTCAAATTTTCACTTAAATATATTATTACATATTTCATAAACTATGTATGTTATATACTCAAAGTACACCATTTTGATAGACAAATGTTTATGCATTCCATGCATATCACTAGACATCTACTATGTATCAAGAATTTCAAGCACTTTGGTGCTGGGGATACAATGGTAACCATAACAGACATGATCTATCTTGATGGAACTTGAACTGATCATCTTGTAGTAGTATAAATAATTAACAAGTAGACAAATTATGAATTTTGACCAAGTGTTAAAAAGAGAAAGAGCCAACCATAATATTTAACCAGAATGACATGTTCCAAAGTCTTTTTCAAATTTAATAATAGGAATCATTTGAAGAAGGACAGCATTTAAACTCCTAGGTCTTTCTTTGAAAATTCTGATCCAGCAAGCCTAGGATGGAGGGGTGTGTACTTCTAAGAAGTATCTAAGGAAAGTCTCATGATATGACATACACTAGTGAGGTAGAAATAGAAATGATGTTATACTGGGTGCAAAGAATTCTGGCTTCTAGTGACTAACTGGTTATGTGATCTTGGGCAATCTAATCTCTATTCTGGCTTATTTTATATTTGCCATATATGGTGAGGACACTGAACTCAATCTCTAGGTGCCCAACAACCTTTAATCAATAGCTATAATAAATAAGAGATTTTGTCATGTAAATGAAAAACACTGCTTTACTTAGACACTTCAATTCTAGCCATGGTTATTTAAAAAGAAATACAATCATAAATATAAAAACACATTTCTTTTATATGAAGCATAAGTCTTGCAAAATCCATTTCAAACATTCAATCATGTGTTGTTCATGCAGTATATGACCACAGTAGGTTTTAACATATGTCCACTATAATTCAAAACAGATAGAAAGGTTAGACATTAATTGAAAGTGTGACAAGATATGGGATGAAACTAATTTTCATTAAAGATTTATGGTGCTGATATATTACATATTCACGGGTAACTGAAGATTAGAAACAATAAAAAATTGTCCACGATAAATTGCAAGTTTTTTGGGAGAGCTGCATTTTTTCACCTGACAACTAAAAGAGTTTTGCAACTCAGTAAATATTCAGTTTACTCTTGTTGAATGAATAAATTAGTAAATAATACATATAAACCTAGAAATTATTAAGTTAAGAAAATTTGTACATATAACTAATGATATTCATTAAGATCAAAGGAAAAGTATGCCAAAATTTTTTCCTAGACTTCTTAAAAGTAATAATAGCCCTTCTTTAACCAGTGCGTGTGTTTGCCCCTTTGCTAAAGATCAAATGTGGGGAGACACTGGCCAAAGGAGTCACTGAACCTGAATGCGCTGAGGAAGGAAACTTGGGGAACAAGAGTTCCCATGTTCCTGTAATGCATGGTTAGAGTTTAGACCAGAATCTGCGGGACAGTAGTATGAAGAATTTAGGGCAAGTTACTGTTGATGTTTGCTTTGCCTAATGTGTTCCTTCTAAGATTTCCTGAACTAGGTCAACATGGGTCACATAACAAGCCATCCTATTCCTACCCCCCCCCACAAACTCCTATATAATATGTTACAAAACGCTTTTTCTCTAAATCTTTTTTTTCTTGTATCCTTGAGTTACAAATAAATACTTCCAGAGGTCTCAGCTAGGGACAATTTCTCTGAGGCTCTCTTATGCCCAATAGGCAGCCACTTTGAGATCCCAGTGCTTGAACTAAATCTTGTTTCAGAGTAATTCTTTTCATCTTCTATGCAGCCATGCTCACATACTGTGACAAGTAGCACTCAATGTGGGGCACAAGCTCATGCCTGAGTCAAAGAAAAAATGGGGCAGCACTGTGAGGTATGAAACTGCAAGGCAAAACCTGCAGCTACCACTCAGCATAGAGGACTGGCCTCCCAAAGCCTGAAAAAAACTTAGGACGTCCAACTCTTCATTTTAGTCTCAGTAAGGAAGATAAAGATGGCCACAAAATAACCTGGAACATCCCAGTGATGTTGCAGCCTAAGTCTTTTCAACCCAGAGATCATCATTGTCCAATTGCTTACTGAGTGGGCACAATGTTTCTTTGCACTTTCACTTATCTTTTGTTTTTGTTTTCTCATTTGTGTTACTACCATAAGTGCAACTTTGTCTAAAGAGGAAAAACATTTTAAGCAATACATACAATATCTTATAAAATATCTGGATCCAAAGTTTCAGAGCCTTGGTTTATTGAATTGTTAATTGTCATTCACCAGCACTGTCCCTGGTTCCCATTGGAGGGTAACTTGGACATGGAAAACTGGGAACAATTTGGTTGCAAATTGAAAGAATGCCTCAGCTCAGTAAAGGATGCTCATCTTGTTATACAGCACCTTTGCAGGGTTTCTATTTCCACCACACAAACAAAACAGGCACCAAAGGAGAAAGTGTTTCCCTCTCCACTCCTCCTTTGCCCCCCTCAGGAGCTTCATTTACCCATCCATCTTCCCCTCTCATAGGGGCTCCTCTTAAGGAAGAAATTTAAATATTGCAGAAAGGATTAAGACT